TTGCACCTAAGACAGCTTTCCTTATTTTAAATCACGCAAATACTCGATGCCAGAGCTGAAACTTGCAGCCTGTGTTCCCACTGTTCTTTTGACAGCTTGCCATGATGTTGCTACACAGGACAAGCATCTCAAGTTCAGAAACTGCCACTCACTGTGGGCTTCTAAGTGTTTACAGGGCTTGCCTTTGTGTATTGAAATTCAATATGATTTGATTTTTGTTTTGATTCTTTTTCTGTCTTTTTCTTAATTCAAGGTTGTTGGCATATCTCTCAGTTGTCGAGATAAATCTCAGAGACACTGGAACAGTATCTACTCAACATTAAATAATAATCTTTTTGGTGAAAAGAAGAGTCAAATGGTCTTTGTTGCTTAGTAAAGTTGCCTACAGCTCTCCTCCCTTCCTCTCTCCACCATCCCCACTGCAGTGAGAGGAGGAAATGAACCAAGAAGACAGTTGCCACACTATCACCTCAATGTTTAAAAAACAGGATTTATCATCTTCTCTAAAACCCCCTGCACCTCCTCATGTATTCTCCAGTTCGGTGGGTGGCACCATCATGCCCAGGGGCACACAGGCCAGGAATCTGCTAATCATTTTTAAATGTTCCCTTTCACTTACCTTCTATCTCCAGTTAATCACTGAGCTCTATTGATTTTACTCCCCCAAAGATTTCTATACGTATCTCTCAATCTCTCTCCATTTCCACCCTCTTTGATCCATCCTTTATAGTTGGGGTGGTCTTGCTCAAATGCTGTTCTCTAAGTCTCCACTTAATATAATGTAAGGATTGTTATTACCTGTAAGACAAAGTCCAAGCTCCTTGGCACAGCGGACAAAGCTCTTGTGTTCTGGTTCTCATCACCTGACCAGTCTCACTTACTTCCATTTGCCCCAAGTCTCATTATTCTCCAGACACACCAGATCTCTGAAAATACATCATAAAATGTATCGTTCTTCTTTCCCTAGCTAGCTCTTGCATATCTTTCATTGCTCGGTCCACCTACTCTGTGAACTTCTTCCTCTCCCTTTTCCCTTCCCACCATCTCCTTGCACCAGGCACCCCTACCCCATAGTCTACATGATTCTCCTCTGAATTCCTTTAGGGCACTGTGTGTCTTTCTGTCACGGTAGATATCATAAGGCATTTGAGTTGTTGACTTATTTGTCTTCTCTCCAGCTGGGCCGGGAATTACTGAGGATAGAAACTGCATGTACCTAAACTATTCCTCCTTCAGTAGACTGACTGATAAATAATCTAGGAATACAGAAGCATGGAAAAAGTGGGTAGTTTCCATTAAAAATATCTACTTGAATTGGATGTGTATAATATATATAGCCTAGAAGCAAAATCTGTAGACCACCAACAGAGTGTATTTTTGTCAAACTATCCTCTTTAGAATATGGTTGATTTCCACAGAGTGGAAATGTTCTGTCTCAGAATAGGGATAGGAGAGGGATAAATAGAGGTTTTCACTTCTTTTTTGAGAGTTATATTGCTTCTTGTTCACAAAAACTGATACGATTCACCCTCCAATTCTGCGGAAGCTATTTTTGCTAAGCTCAAATAATTCAATTGGCTTAAATCCTTAATAGTTTAAACGAAGCCATGGATCAACTAAAACTGATAAATGAGCTAAATATCCTGTTCTTAAGGAACTTCGAGATTGTCAGCATGGCCATTACTCCTGAGAAGGTGCAATAAAACTATAATAATAGGCAGCAATCATAATAATAACAATCAGGATTAATAATCATAACACTATGTACTTATCTCATGCCTTTCATCCATGGATCTGAAAGCTCTTTTTATAATCATTATGAGAAACATTCTCATGAACTGAATAGTCACAGTGTCCAGAAAATGGACTGAAACACTGTCAGTGATGACAATAATCCAAGCAGGTTTAAGATAGAATCACACAAAAGGGATACGTGACAAGCTCTAGTTCTACCGAATTCTAACTCTAAACTTTGTTTTCCATTACACCGAATGGCCTGGGGTTGCCAGGGTACTGTAAGTCCATGCGACAAAGGATAGCAGTTCTGTGGAATTCAACAATGATGTTAGGTGTGATTGCTGAAGAAATCTTGGCTACAACAGTTTCCCATAAAAACAGTCCTGCCAAGAAAGTGAAACTTTGTCAACCTGGAGATAGCCTCAACTTTCAATACACCAAATTTGGCCCTCACAAATGATTTTCAGTGTTGGTTTGACTTAAAGGAAAAATTGAATTTTTTTTTTTTAAGTTTGCATTTGGGATGAACAGACATGCTTTGATTTTTAAAATAAAGTCTTGTGAATTGTTAAGGGAAGGGTTTCATGTGGTTCGTCAAAGCTTAGCTGAATGGGTGGGTTTGGAATTGTCAAGGAAGGACCAGGAAGGTGTCGGGGCAAATCCATCTCTTGGGATGCTGCTCCTGAATCTAAAACACAACACAAGCAAATCCCAACAAAATCAAAATGAAAATAAACCAAAAATTGAAGAGGAAGGCAAAATGGTGTCATGCAAAAGGCAAGTATTTACTCATCTACACAATCTTTCTTGAGCATCTACCAAAAGCAAGGCATTTTGGAAGTTCTCTATGCATGTGTTTGTGCATGGAAAGTTACAAAAATAACCCCTTTTCCTTTTACTAAATGAATGGGCATCGCCCTCTTTCCCTGTTTTTGGACAGCAGTTTTTGTTGAGGTGAGATGTTTTGGTACAAAATATCAGTGCCTTAATCTGTTTCCTTGAGAGTGTCATTTTGAACTCCTGTGACAGTTTGCTCTAATGCAGGGTGTCAAGGGATATGATACATCCTTTGGACCTGCAGGCACAGCAGTGAAAGGAATATCATCAAACTAATGGGTAGAATTCATTTGCTGTGTGTGCTTAGGCTTTCATGAAACTTCATCTTAAATCCTCAGTTCCACTTAGAACGAAGAACACATTCACCCATACCCTTCGGTCTGGCCCTTACCCCAATCCCCGTGCATTCTGTAGCGACTGTATCACTCTTGGCTTCTTCATTTACCTGGAAGGGTTATTTTAGCATACGCAGGTATTTTATACTTCCTGCTGCCCTGAACTTTCATAGAACAGAAGACAAAATTGGGACTTGTGGAGACAGGGGTCTTACCCACGGCCACAGGCTAGTTGATGAGAATTTGGACCAGAAATCTGACCTTCAGGTCACCATCTTCTGCTTTTTCTGCTCTACTGAATGAAAATCGCAGACAACTACCCAACCCTCAGTCTGGAAACTAGACTCTTTTCAGCCATAGACTTCAGCAGTAAAGAATAAGATGAACCCATTGAAAAAAAGCAACGCAAGCACAGATCAGCCAAAAAGTCCCCAGAGCCAATCTGTGTTACTATGAGGAATTCTATTTGCCTTGAATTAATCCCTATAGTTGTCCCCAGAGGGGAAAAAAATCCAGTTTACCTTCTATTTCCAGACTCATTAACCAGGAAACTAGTCTTGATAAATATGTAGCAATCAAGATTTTTATTTATTTATTTATTTATTTATTTATTTATAACAGGTCACTTTCTTTTTTTACATTTATTTATTTTTGAAAGACAGAGACAGAGCACAAGTGGGGGAGGGGCAGAGAGAGAAGGAGACCCTGAATCTGAAGCAGGCTCCAGGCTCTGAGCTGTCAGCACAGAGCCCGATACGGGGCTTGAACCCACAAACTGTGAGATCATGACCTGAGCCGAAGTCGGACGCTTAACTGACAGAGCCACCCAGGTGCCCAGTAATGAAGAGTTTAAGGTCAGACAAGTTTTTACATTTTCTTGTTCTTCAGTATATTAAGTATTTTGTTTTCAGCTCATTCTTCTCCTTTATTGAATAAACTGTTTCAAACACTAGCAATCCTCACTACCCTCCAAATCTAATCTACATTTCTAGCCTATCTCTTTAATCCCACTGGTTACAGATATGTTATTTTATTCCTTTATTTTCCCCCCTCTTATAGCAACATTTCTTGGCAAGCATCATAGCCATGTAGTTAAAGGATATGCATGTGCAGTGAATTTTTTCCAAAAAGTTTCAATTTTCCATTGATTCGGCCATCTGGGCAGTTTGGTTTAGAAAACTTTTTCATTCAGTTGTAACTTTATGAGATTAACAGTCCATTGAAAGAATCCACACACAAACTTATGGAGGAAGGTTTGTGCGTTGCTTTCCAAGAGCTGCTGTAACATTACCACAAACTGGGTGACTTAAAACAACAGAAATTTATTGTCTCACATTTATGGAAGCTGGGAGTCTGCACTCTAGTTTTCAGCCAAAGACTCTAGAAGACTCTAGAAAAGAATCATTGCTTGCCTCTTCCTAACATCTAGTGATCACCGTGGCTTGTAACTATACCACTCCGATCTCTGCCTCTGTCATGACAGACCATCTTCCTTCTGTGTGCCTCTGTGTGTCCAAATCTCTCCCTCCTTTCTCCCATAGAGACACCAGCTATTTGGTTTAGGGCCCAACCTGAGCCAGTTTGCCGCCATCTTAACCAATTACATCCACAAAGACCCTATTTCCAAATAAGGTCACACTCTGAGGTCCAGGGTGGCCATGAAGTGGGTTGGGGTGGAATGGGACACTATTCAACCCAGCCCAGTTTGCTTTTTCCATTCCATTTTACAATTTTCTCTCAAGGCTTTACTGATGCACAGGGTCCAACGTGGCCATTCAGACCTTCCCAGCATAGGAACCAGTCAACTTAGGAGATGGAGCAGCCAGAGGTAAGGAGTCACACAACAAGGATTGAGTCCTACCTCCACCTGTTCCTGAGTCACATAACTTCACCGGCCCTCCCATGCCTCGTATTCAAATTGTAGTAACATCTATGTCATAACAGCCACAGTGAGGACCAAGTGAGATTATAGAACAGAATGTCTTACATTTAGCAAGTGTTGCTCAGTACCTTTTAACACCCTATGTTCTTTTAAGAATTGATGAGCAGCTGACTGCTGGACGAAGCGGAGATGAGAGCCCTTTTTGGTACCCCGTTCTGCCTGGGAAAGAGGAAGGGCGCACACAGCAGGCCTGGGAAAGTTCACTGATGCTTGTCATTTTTAAAAAAGGTAGCGAGAAAAAGCAACCTGACCTCCTGGTGGATGCTTATTACATCGCTACATCGTATTTACATATGACATATGGTGCCTAACATCAGAGAGCCTCAAAGCTTTTAATGAGTGTTAACTCATTATTACCTGTGGAGAGTGTAGTGAGTAGTCATCTAGTTTACAGCTGAAGGAACTGAGGCACAGGGAGATCAAGTGCCTGATTCAAGGTCAGCTACTCCAAGATGCTACAGGGACCGGCCTTGAGTGCGGTAATGTAGCTGTTACCTTTGTTCCCATCCCATGGGTGCAGTGGTATAGGCAACACGCGTCCAGGAATGAGAATAGCGTGCCGTAGAAGAGAAAATAAAAATCAAGAAACTACAATAAACAAGAATGTGATGTATCCATACAGAGGAATATTATTGGACCATAAAAAGCAATGAAGTGCTGATACGTGCCATGATGTGATGAGCCCTGAAAACGTGCTTTTTAGTGAAAAAAGCTCTGGGTTGTATGATTTCCCTCAAACGAAATGTCCAGAGCAGGTAAGACGATAGAGACAGAAAGCACATTTGTGGTTGCCAGGGCCTGGGGGGGTGTCAGGGGAATGGGAACAAATTGATGAATGGGTTTGGAGTTTCCTTTTGGAGCGACTAAAATATTTTGGAACTAGATAGAAATGACGGTTGCACAACACTGTGAATGTAGTAAATTCCACTGAAATATACACTTTAAAATGGTTAAATGTGATGTGAACTTTATCCCAATAAAATAATAAGGAAAAATAACCTGAGCATCTGCAAATAAATGCTAGTTACACCACCTGGGTCCGGAGGACAGACTTCTGAGAAGCAGATTACCTGAACCTGTAGGGGCCACATCTTCCACTTAGCTCGCTGTAATTGTGTCTCCTTGGGCTAATTTCTGAGTCTGTATTCTCAATCGTGCGATGAGATCTTATACCAAATTAGTGGTTTCAAACTGCTATTTTTTTTTTAATTTTTTTCAATGTTTTTATTTATTTTTGGGACAGAGAGAGACAGAGCATGAACGGGGGAGGGGCAGAGAGAGAGGGAGACACAGAATCGGAAACAGGCTCCAGCCTCCGAGCCATCAGCCCAGAGCCTGACGCGGGGCTCGAACTCACGGACCGCGAGATCGTGACCTGGCTGAAGTCGGACGCTTAACCGACTGCGCCACCCAGGCGCCCCAGCAACCTGCTATTTTTAAAGCTACCTAACTTTTTAAAAGCAAAATCTTATGTGAAAAAACAAACAAAAAAACCCAAAATCCTATGTAGAACTTTAATGTATAAAATAGACAAAGACAGGAGCGCCTGGGTGGCTCAGTCGGTTAAGCATTCGACTTCAGCTCAGGTCATGATCTCACAGTTCGTGGGTTCAAGCCCCACGTTGGGTTCTGTGCTGACAGCTCAGAGCCTGGAGCCTGTTTCAGATTCTGGGTCTCCCTTTCTCTCCGTCCCTCCCCCACTCACGCTCTCTCTCTCTTTCTCAAAGTAAATAAGCATTAAAAAATTAAAAATAAAATAAAATAAAATAAAATAAAATAAAATAAAATAAAATAAAGTAAAATAGATGAAGACAAGCTAGTGAAGGGTCTGTCCAATACACTTCCTTTTACCATCCGTGGTGGCCTGAAAGGAACCCTTTTCACTGTGGTGTTCTTGGATAAAGTTGAAAATTCCCAGAGTAGGTGATTTCTACACTCATGATCCTGTGGCCCCAATGGAATATCCTCCTCTGTTTCAAAGCAGAATAGTAAGATGAGATATGAGTATCAGTATCATGAATGTTGTTATCAGTATCATGTATGATAAATATGCAGCCTGATGAAGATTTAGGAAGGAAAAGTATAAAATTGAGAGTGACAGATGCAGCCAGACATGGGCTGACCGGGGACTCATGGCGACTTTGGGGTTCCAGGGGGCCACGAAGAGGCCCCACTGCCACCACCTCACCCAAAGTCTAAGACAGCCCGTGGGACCTGATCCAGGGGACCAAGAACAAGCCACTGCCACTTGCTCAGGGTTCAAGATTCCCCTGGGCCACCAGTGGGGAGAGCCAAGGCTTTTAGTGTCAAGCGCTGATCGAGGAGATTATGACTGGTACGGAGAAATTTTACATGAGGATGAAAATCACAGAACAAGACAAGAAGTCAGAGGACATTGACTTGGTCACAATGATTTCTCCAATTTCTTATCACAGGTGGCATGTGTAAGGGTTCATTCTGGAGTCGGCATCCTCCACAAAGACATCAAAACATCTACATATGAAGCCCACAGATAGACTTTTACAACCTGTGAGATTATATAAAAACTCATCATCCTCACTAGAATTTCACTAGACCATCCACTTACCAACATCCCTGCCTGAGTTGTACCAGAGACATATTCTTTCTCACCACTGCTCAAAGACTTAAGATCTGCCAGGAAGACAGGAGGAGATTGGGAGGGAGGAGAAAAGGCTGGAAGTTTCAGTGGTTCCCAAAGTGTGGTCCTGGGATGGGCGTCACCTGGGAACTTGTTAAAAAATACAAATTCTTAGCCCCATTGCAGACCTACTGAATCAGAAACTCTGAGGGTGGGCTCAGTATTATGTGTTTTATCAAGCCTTCCAGTGACTTTACTATACAAGATGATAGTTTGAGAACCCCTTTGAGTATACTATTCCAATGAATTCGCTAATTTTATTTTTTTTTTAATTTTTTTTCAACATTTATTTATTTTTCGGGGACAGAGAGAGACAGAGCATGAACGGGGGAGGGGCAGAGAGAGAGGGAGACACAGAATCGGAAACAGGCTCCAGGCTCTGAGCCATCAGCCCAGAGCCTGACGCGGGGCTCGAACTCACGCACCGCGAGATCGTGGCCTGGCTGAAGTCGGATGCTCAACCGACTGCGCCACCCAGGCGCCCCTGAATTCGCTAATTTTAGATGAGAAAACCGAGGCCCAAAGTAAATGAATGGCAGTCCCATGATCACCTATGTGTGAGCTAGAAAAGAAGATGAAAATTTGCAAGTGTTACCAATTATGTTTAAAAAAGAAGCCTTGGGGCCCCTGGGTGATTCAGTCGGTTAAGAGACTGACTTCGCAGGTCATGATCTCGCGGTTTGTGAGTTCGAGCCCTGCGTCAGACTCTGTGCTGACAGCTGGGAGCCTTGAGCCTGCTTCAGATTCTGTGTCTTCCTCCCTCTCTGCCCCTCCCACACTCGCACTCCACCTCTCTCTCTCTCTTTCAAAAAGTAACTTAAAAATAAATAAATAAATAAATAAATAAATAAATAAATAAATAAATAAATAAAATAAAAAAGAAGCCACATTTTCTTTCTTCCCAGATTAGGAGAGAATCGATGCTTACAGTTCGAAATCTCCTTTTTGATTCATCAAATGTGAACTTAATATGCAAGATTCTGTGCTCACTGTTGTGTCCTCAGTGCCTGTGACAGGTCTGGCAAATAATAGACACTCAATAAATATATATTTTTAATGTTCATTTTTGAGAGAGAGAGAGAGACAGAGTACGAATATGGGAGAGGCAGACAGAGAATCCGAAGCAAGCTCTGGGCTCCAAGCTGTCAGCACAAAGCCTGACTTGGGGCTCGAACCCATGAACCTTGAGATCATGACCTGAGCTGAGGTAGGACGTTCAACTGACTGAACCACCCAGGCGCCCCACAATAAATATTAGTTATAATGTGAATCAGCTTACACAAAGGTGGTGGGTAAGTACTTTTTCCATTTCCTTGTATGATGGCTGGGCTTCTGCCCAACTTGTAGAAACCTGCCCCAGGTACAGAGAGCCCCCAAACACCATATTCTTTCCCAGGGGATCGTTTTGACAAATAGCTCAGTTTCTTCCTATCTCCACCCAAATGCTTCCAAAAGTGGACTGAAAAGGGAGAAACCGACAGGCTAAGAGAAGTCTCTGAAATGCTACCCATGTAAAATTCCCCCACACTCATCCAGACAACTTTCTGAACATCTGGCCAACTTTCATTAAACAGCTAAAATTTTGTTTGTTTTTCCTTTACCAGGAAACAAATTGAAAATGCAGACTTAGGGGCGCCTGGGTGGCTCAGTTGGTTAAGCATCTGACTCTGGATTTTGGCTCAGGTCATGATCTCACAGTTTGTGGGTTTGAGCCCCATATTGGGCTCTGTGCTGACAGTGCAGAGCCTGCTTGGGACTCTCTCTCTCTCTCTCTCTCTCTGCCCCAACCCCACTCTCACTTTCTCTCTCTCTCTCTCTCAAAATAAATGAATAAACTTAAAACAAAACAGTAAAAGAAAATTGAGACTTAGCTTCTGTGGAAGCTTTTCTTTTTAGAAATGAGAGGAAAGGTTGAAGCTTAGGTAAAGAGATCCCAGGCTGAGAGCAAATAAAAAACAAAACGAAATTTTCCAAAGAGAACCGAAAACTTGAAAGCACCTGTATGGAAAGAATGACATCAAAATTCAGCAATTATAAACAATTGTATCCAGTGAATCCCTTTTCTCTATAGCCAATTCTTGACTTCTTGTGATGTTTTAATTCAGAATTATTTCTTATTTTTCCCTGAATTGTTTGTCCTATAATAAGAATATTATTTTAAATAGTTTTTAGTGTTCAGCTTTTTCTTAAAATTATTTTTTTCTATAAAAAGCGATGCCTGTACTACGAGAAATTAGGGGCATGTTTTATGGGTTCAATGATATTTACATCTGATGGTTAAAGGCCTTGGCATCACCACGTACCCAAGGCTCATATTACTATTAAAAGCCTTTATTGATGAGCAACAACCACCAAATTATATAATACAAAATCTTACAAGTATACCCAATAAAAAATACTGTACAATTAAGCCATTTGCCTAAGAGCCACATGAACTTTGTGATCAAATAATTTGTTTCAAACTCTTTGTATGGTACACCTCATTTACTGACTAACTCTGGACCACATAAAACATTTTATACCATTTTAGGGGGGTCTTTTCTTCATACTGTATCTTGCACCCAAATTGGGAATAAGGTATCTGGGAATAAGCTATCTGGGAATAGCAACCATGCAGATCTGATCTGATTTTTTTTTTTTTTTTTTTTAATGGGAAGTGAATGGTTTCTGGACCCTGAGCTGGAAATTGCCACTGTAGTTCTCACGCTCAGAAGGAGGGAGTGGGTCTAGGAAACCAGCTTTGCTGAATGGTACGTTTTCTCAGGGGGTCAATTTTTTCTACAAAGGAATCCTATCCTTATTGACAGCAGGAATTCTCCCAGTATTAAAGGGACAAAGATGTTTCTAATATGCCAGTGGAAGCAAGCAGTCCATGTTTTGCTTTAAAAATTATCAGCCATCAGCCATCAGCAATGCAGCAAAGTCTCCAGCCAGGCTGCCTAGATGCCAGCTGACCGATTCTCATTACCCCTGGCATTTAGGGATCAAGGGCTACCACTATTTGCAAAGCTGCATTAATGAAATTACTTCCTCTGTGCTTTCACAGTAAAATACTAAAGTAGGCTAAAGACAACACCAAAAAAAATGGGGCTAATAAACATCCCTGTAATCAACTCAATTCTTCTCTGATCTAGATATTTTCCTAGCACTTTTCTGAGCCTTGGGCAAAACTCTCTTAGCCATTTTTGAATGCTCTGGTCTTGGGGAAACATGAAATCCTGTAGACTATAAAAAATGTGAATGGAGTTGCAGTGCAGTTGCAAATGTACTTATATTAGCTAGATGTGCAAAGAAGAACAATCACTTCTTTTTTCCACCTGCGAGACTGGTCTGCTCTTCATTGTTGGCAATACAAGTAAACTGAGCCTGACCCACTAACTTGAGCATATGTTTAAGGGAACTTGGTCTCTTTTGGATAAATGCTCACTTTTTCAGATTTCCTATGCTTCCCTCTGCTCCCATCCAAGATGGCAGCTCAGTGTGTACATCAAGGTGACAGGAAAAGTGGGGACTTGGGTCTGTCAGTGCTAGTCCTTTCCTGACCTTGTGTCCATTGTTGGCATTGAGGGCTCAAATGGCTCCAGCTGAGCCCAGCCCTCCTTTCTTGTTAAGGAGCCCATCTCAGCCCTCTGCGTGCTGTGGCAGCCCTAAGATATGGCTGTGGCTACCATTGGTCTCTGTTGTGGGTGGTCCACCTAGGAGACCTCAAGGTCAGGGACCTATCACCCCAGTGCAGTAGGTGTCTAGCAGGCTTACAGGTAGTTAACAGCCATGTGCATCCCTCCACAGGGAGGGATGCCTGAAGAATTTGGGGCGCCTTCTCTGCCCCCACACATAGTTAACTGAGAGATACCCTGGGGAGCAAACCCAGGCCCTCCTCTGCCCCCCCCCCCCCGGGGGAAATGGGGGCAAGGCCCCTTCCTACCTGCACTTTCTCTACCTAATCAACATTCCCCTGCCCCTTGGGAAGAAGAATGTCATCCTCCTTCCCTTTGCAATACCTGCCCCTTGACCTATTTTGAGGTAGTGACGGTGAAACCTGACTTACCAGGACAGAATAGGCCTGGGATGAATATTTTTGAAATGGGAGCCTGATGAAATATGAATTTCCCACACTAAGGATCCTAAATACCTCTGAAAGTATACCATACTTCCTTTCCATTCCCACTGCTTCCAAACTTACATTCTTCCTAACCATCCTGTAGGTCAGTGGTTTCTAGCTGATTATCAGCATCATTAAGGAGCTTATAAAAATATACGTTTCCAAGCTTACCCCTTCTAAATGAAATATCAAACACACACACACACACACACACACACACACACACACACACCTCTAAAAACAAAACCCCCCAACACAACAAAAAGCAAGGTTCAGAATAGTGACTATAATTTGAAAAAAAAGTTTATTTATTTATTTTGAGAGAGAGAGAAAGAGAGCATGTGCAGAGGAGGGCAGAGAGAGAGGGAGAGAGAATCCCAAGCAGGCTCCATTCTCAGTGCAGAGCCCAATACGGGGCTTGATCTCACTACTGCAAGATCACAACCTGAGCCGGTATTAAGAGTCAGACGCTTAACTGACTGAGCTACCCAGGTGCCCCAGTGACTATAGTCTTCTGCCCTTGGGCTAAGAAAGGGAAGAAAAGAATTTATATTCATATTTGCTTGCATTTGATAAAAGACTGGAAAGGAAACATAGAAATAAGTGGAAGCACCCTTTTTATGTTAGTGAGGGTGTGAAGGAAAACGGGGAGAGTTGATCTTTTCAAATGCTTTTGAGTTTAATGTTTACTGTTTAACTTTTCAAAAATAAGTAAAATAAATGGTGTTTGCTTTTTTGTTTTGTGTTTTTTCAGTCCTTCTGATGATGAGCCAGGTCTGGAAGGCCTGAGGGCAATCTGAGAGACTTTTCTAAATTTACATCTGAACATACCAGCCTGCTAAAGCCCTCCCACCACGTCCAGTCATCTTGGGGATACGACCTCGTGAGCAAGAAAGGAGGCCATGTTTGATCCAAGCCCACTTGGCATTTCAGCCACTCCGGTATTTGTTTGCACTCTCCTCCTTCCTGGATGCTTCCTGCCCCTGCCTACAACTTGACACTCTTTTTTCCAGAAAAATGCAGTTTGGTACCACCTTTCTACTGTCTGCCTTCCCCAGAATTCACCAGAATAAATAAGATTCTCCTCCTATGTCACACTACACACCAATTTTTCGTAGTCTTCTTTCTCCCCTCCCTCTTCCAGTTCAGGGACAAGGGCATTCTCTGTGCTGTGGTGTTTGTTGAATGAGTGAATACATGATTTTCAGTGTTAGTGGAACGATTTTTTTTTAACTAGTAAAGCATACATAGAAGAAAACTCATTATTTCCCTTAAATTTGTGATTTTTAAAAAGATAACGTGTGTGTGTGTGTGTGTTTTAGTAAGCAAACAGCAAAATTATGGTCAGGATAATGGGCTGTAAGTGTTAAGGAGTGACTGCTAAGTCTGTTAATAGGTAGATAAGAATCATTCATAATTGGCATGTTCTTTGTAGCCAACAATGCCACTAACTGGTTTCTCAGGCCCTAGACAACGTTAGGCCTCACTCTTAAGTAAAGAAAGTGTTTCCTTTGTTTACACAATGAATTTGTTTAAGGCACTCTGTTTTCATGGGCAGAACAATGGTGTTTTTACATCTCTTCACACTCAAATTATCACAAATTAGGAATGAATCTAAATGAGGTCATATAGTGTTTATAAACATGATATGAATTCATGATGAGATGTTACCTTGTGATCTACAAGATAGGAAAATACGTTATTACTTCCTATGTGGAAGAAAACTTGGTAACATTTTGTCACTTCATCTTTTCCTGTCTTGCCTTTCCGACAAATTAAAAACACACAGTTCTGCAATGATTGAGGAACATTGACTCTTAGAGAATTTTTTTGTTTTGTGTTTTTAAAAAGAAACTTGTACTCATGTAAATATGAATGTGTCATCTAACTTTTAGATAAGATCATCGTGTTAACAACTCAGGTAGCTTTTGAAACAGATTTATCTAGCTAATACCCTGCTTCATGAAGAAGAAATTAACAGTTACTTTTGAACCAGGAAAAATGCTAAGTCTTATGGGAGATCAAAAAACAAATAAACCTGGAACAAGATAAATTAATGGTGCCTTAATTGTTCAAAGAATATCCATTATTTCAATCCAGTAATTACCTATAAGAATTGTGCCCCTTTCTGAAGTTGAACACCAGTCTGCTAATTCTCAAATATTGGGTCATCAGTATAGATCCACAAAGTAGTTAAAAAAAAAAAAAGATATCAAGAATTGATTTAACTTGCTGCCATGTATTAAATATGGTTCTAATGAAAGAACTAATTTTTTTCACAAGTTATGAATCCTTTGAAATTGCAATCCCGAAAATTATATGTGGGAGACATTTCTTCCTTTCCTAATTAAGTAGGTAACATTGTCTTCACTCTTCAGCTGGTTTCTTAGAAACTGAAGTCAGCCTTCCATATAAATATAACTTCATTTTATGAGAAGTGAGCTCTACCACACCACATGCCTGAGCTTCAGATGTACATGGCATGGTCATGAAGGTCTGTCAACCCAATTGAAATGTGCAACCAGCCTTTCCAAATGGCTTAATACTTAACTATTAACTATTAAGACCAACAACTGCTCGGAATAAAAGTCCTTGGCATGGTAACCATTTTCACAAAACTAATTCACTCAAATAGGCATGTCCTAATGGACCAATAAAACTTGCCTTGTCGTGTCTGAATGCAGCGTCACTGCCATTTAGAGTTGGCTATAATTGGTAATCACTGCTCAGTGAAAGTGGGAGATGGGGAGGCTTTGTATAATAATACTCTAGACTGGGCTCCTACGGGGCCTTTCATCTGAAAATCTCAAAGCACTTGACAAACACTAATTAATACTCATGACACCCCAGTGAGAGAGGTAAGGATTATTATCCCCATTTTACAGATGAGGAAACGGTGGGGTTAAGTTGGGTAACCTGGTGAGTCAGGGGCAGAATGAAGAGCTCCTAATTCCTAGTCTTGTGCTCATACAAGCATTACAAGGGCCCACCATTGGAAAGATAAAAGGAATTGCACCTCATTTTCAAATACCCCAAGGTGAAGGCATCAATTATAAATGGGATCACAATTAAGTCATTTGATTTTAACAACACTAATACCATCTTGTAATCTTCAAACTTTATTTTAAAATATGAAAATATTATTAAAAGTGCTTTCTTAGGCTCTGAAGTATAAGACTATTTTATCGCGGAAGAAGCAATTGTAGGAATTTAGGTTGAGTAATTTGATAAAGGGCCCGAAAGTGTTTTATTTTTCAGGATGGTGGCTCAGATTCTTTCAGCAACTCTAAACTCCCTGAGGCTGGAGATCCATCACTTAAGGTTTTGTATCCAAATGTGGAGCACTGTTGGGCACATCGCTCAAGAAATGTTCGTTACACTGATGAAATTCACTAAGTGCCAAGGGGCTAGGAGACTTGTGAAATGAACAGGACAGAATCTCATCCTCAGAGGGGCTAGGGATTTAATGAGAGACACAGAATACAAGACAGTAATTAAGAAATGAGGGGCAAGAAGATGGAATGCGCCAAGTGTTCAGTGTAAAAACACCAAGGTTCTAAGGTTCAAATTGGAACACAGATTTTAATGAATTCCCAGATAATAAGACTGCTGTTTCTTATACACCATTATAGCATTAATTCAAACAGTGATGGCAGCTTTCTTCACCTAAAGCCAACTGGCTTCCAAACAGCCCACTGGGTTTTCAAACTCATTATTTAGAATGCTGAGTATTGTAATAAATACTGTTTGGTCCAAGAGAAGACTTGCAAGTAGCTTTAAGGTGGACCTTCTTGTGGTTTCTCCAAAATCTCTCTACCTCAGGGCCTTTGCAGATGATATTAAGTCTACCCAGAGGACCCTTCCTACCATCCATCCCCAACTAGTTCCTCACCCAACTAATTCCCACTTATGCTTTAGATTTCTGCTCGAACATAATTTTCTGACTCTATAGGCTTGGTTAGCTCTGTGGTTATACCTTCTGAAAACTCTGCACTTTTCCTTCACAATAGCTATCACAGCTTGCAATTAAATATGGTTTTTCCTTTAATTAAGGTGTTCCCATCTCTCTTCTACCTACTGTGGCTCTAATTTCCAAAAAGAGTCCGTGTCTGCTTTGACCACCATTATATTCCTAGCACATAGGAGGTCCTCACAAATGTTAGTTGAATAAATAAACAAACACATATCGTGAATTACTGAGTAACAGTGAACTAGGAGCATCTGGGGAGAGCTCATATTAAGAGAGGAAAAGCAGCCCCTGCCAATGAGAGCAAGCCTGGAACTATCAGTTAGGCCCCAGCGTTGCTACGAGCTGCTCTGGCACTCACAACGAGGCTGGGGTGTTCTCCCATTGAACGTAAACAATTTCACAGGAGACTTGTCATTCAAAGCCACCTAGTGATCATGATAGATCAAGACAAAGACAAGACTGTCACTCCACAATCATGTCTGGACTCGAACAAAAACAAGAATAGAATAATGCTTTTGGCCAAACTTGGTGTCATACCTAAATTATTTGCCTATTGTTTTAATCCCCTTAAATGATCTGTATTTCCTGTTGTCCTACAGATCCCCCCAAAAAACCCTTTGCCAGACCATCTTGGAAGCATCCTTGCTCCTCTGTCCAGTTCTGGTCTAACATCTCAGTTCTTCCACTCACAAATTCAAGTTCTGTTTCCTGACCCACCACCCTTCTTTCTCTTTTCATCTGAATATTGCATCTGAAGCCCAGCTTGTTTGAAATCAAACTCATCATCGTCTGTCCTTTCCCACTGCCAAACTAATTCTTCACAGCTTACCTCCTTAAATTTAGGTCTCTATTGCTGGTTTACTCCCCATTTACCCCTAGCTTTAAAGCAGTGCTCAAACCCCTTTGATTTTTCTTTCCATTCCCTCCTTTCTATTCCCTTGGACCATTCCCAACATTCACGTTCACATTCATGGGGGCACTTGTATAAACCATCGCAGTGGCCTGGGTCCTCTCTCTGCTTGTCTCTTCTCTCCATTCTGTCAGCTGGATCAAATTAATCTCCATCAAATCTTATTTTGATCGTGTCATACCCCTAATTTTTAAAAAAAATTTTTTAACGTTTATTTATTTTTGAGACAGAGAGAGACAGAGCATGAACAGGGGAGGGGCAGAGAGAGAGGGAGACACAGAATCGGAAGCAGGCTCCAGGCTCTGAGCCATCCGCCCAGAGCCTGACGCGGGGCTCGAACTCACGGACCGCGAGATCGTGACCTGAGCTGAAGTCGAACGCTCAACCGACTGAGCCACCCAGGCGCCCCTAATTTTTTTTTTATTCAAAGAGACACGTACCAAATATAGTTCAGACTTTTTGTTTGGAGTTGGGGGTTGGGGAGGAATAAGGGCCCTGACTAGAAGGAGGAAGCTGCCTCCTCACCCCCACTCCCTCTAGGAAATGAAGGAAAAGATGCTCTTTAGAGAAAGAACCAGGATTCAAATGCAAATTTTTCTGATTCTAAATCTTCTCTGCCTAACCACAAGGCTATGGTACCTCCTTGCTAAGTTTCTTCAACTATGTTCATCTATTTCATTTATAAAATTGGACACCACCCCCCCTCCTGCCACCATGCTGGAAGGTCTGCATAATGATTATGCTTACAAAGAGCCCATGTTACACAAGGACCACTTCTTGATGTCCTCTTGTCTTTCTTCCCCACCCCCTCCTTTGCTGACAATGCAAAAATCTGACAAGAAAAGGAAAGATATGCGCTCACAAACAGTGAAATACAGCCACACTGGGTCAAGGCTGCAAGTCAACAATGGCAACAGTCATGGGCACCAATGAAGTTCAGGAGTTGTGTGTCAAATGAATGTGCTTCTAAGCTCATCTCCTCTTAACAAACCTTCTAGAACGGTTGCCATGGTGCCCCTGTTATTGTGGCAAAACAGCATCTTAGCCTGGCTAAGGGAACCATCTGTCAAATATGTTCTGAAGCCAACATCCTGTACATGCCCCATAGGTAGGGAGTGAAGGAAGAGTGGAAGCTACAGTTCTTAAGTTAATGTAGGAATGGCTTCTAAAAATCTTTGGGAAGAGTTAGAGAGAATGGACTTTTCTGTTAACATT